AGATAAAATGACACGTTCAATTATGTTTGGCAAATGTACTCTTGTCTTACCTTCATAAACTTTGATGGTGACAGTAGGCTGGTTATCAGAGGCTGTAGAGAAGATCTGGGATTTCTTTGTGGGCACCACTGTGTTCCTGGGGATCAGCTTGGTCATTACTCCACCAACAGTCTCAATACCAAGAGTCAGGGGGCACACATCGAGAAGAACCAGATCACCTGCAAGAGAGGAACATTTTTAGTTAACAAAATAAACTTGGTAAGCTGCAACCGGTCAAATATACACTACAGTGTATAATGAAGATTACATACCAGTGTCCTCCTCTCCAGACAGCACTCCAGCCTGCACAGCTGCTCCGTATGCCACAGCCTCGTCAGGGTTGATGCCTCTAGAGGGCTCTTTGCCATTGAAGAACTCCTTCACCAGCTGCTGGATTTTGGGGATACGGGTGGAGCCTCCAACCAGCACAATCTCATCAATGTCGGCCTTCTTCAGGTCAGAGTCTTCCATTACCTTCTGTACAGGCTTCATGGTGGACCGGAACAGGTCCTGGAAAAGCAAAAAAGGCAAGGTTAAAAAAGGTGAACATAAGGTTTTACGAAACGGGTGTAGTTTTATTTTTAGCTTGTATGCAACTGGAATGCAACCTACCATGTTGAGCTCTTCAAACTTGGCACGGGTCAGGGTCTCAGAGAAGTCCTCTCCCTCAAAGAAAGACTCGATCTCAATGCGGGCCTGGTGCTGGGCAGACAGCCCCCTCTTTGCCTTCTCAACCTCACGACGCAGCTTCTGCACAGCACGGTTGTCTTTGCGGACATCTTTGCCAGTCTTTTTCTTGTACAGCTTGATGAAATGCTCCATGACGCGCTGGTCAAAGTCTTCACCTCCAAGATGAGTGTCACCATTGGTGGCAACCACTTCAAACACCCCATTGTCAATGGTCAGAAGGGAGACATCGAAGGTGCCACCGCCCAGATCGAACACCAGAATGTTCTTCTCGCCGTCCTTCTTGTCCAGACCATAAGCGATGGCAGCAGCAGTTCTAAAGAATGAAATTAAATATTATAATACAGGAAGGGGGGGAAATATTTTCCCAATTAAAAAAAAAAAAAAGGGAAATGGATGAATAAATCATTAGAAACTTACGGCTCATTGATGATTCTCATGACAATCAGACCAGCGATGGTTCCAGCATCCTTAGTTGCCTGGCGCTGGGCATCATTGAAGTAGGCAGGGACAGTTACCACAGCATGTGTGACCTGAGGGAAAGACGAAAACGTTAAATTATTGATAAAATTAACATGTTTATTCAAAAGCGGTTTAACCTTTGACAAACATTATCTTTCCGGTTTTTGTACCTTCTTGCCCAGATATGCCTCAGCAGTCTCCTTCATCTTGGTCAGCACCATGGCGGAGATTTCCTCCGGAGCGAAAGTCTTCATCACGCCGCCTCCAATGTCGACCTGAATATGAGGCTTGCTCTTCTTCTCAGTAACCTAAAAGAGGAACATGTATCCATATTAGTATAAATATAGAAGTGTATTGCTCAATCGTTACACCTTTAGACAGATAATTGTTGTTGCATTTAGTTGGGCTGCACTGTAATGCATAATAAAAACTCACCTTGAAGGGAAAGTACTTGACATCAGATTGCACAGTAGAGTCTGACCAAGTGCGCCCAATCAATCTCTTGGCATCAAAGACTGTGTTCTCAGGGTTAGAGGTCAGCTGGTTCTTGGCGGCATCACCAATCAGACGCTCACCCTCTGCCGTGAAGGCAACATATGATGGGGTGATACGGTTACCCTGGTCATTGGCGATGATCTCCACACGGCCATTCTTGAAAACTCCAACACTACAGGAAAACATGAAACAAATTAAAATCACTCAAGTCATTTCACAATTTGCATCATATCATTGTCCTCTAAGGCCATGAAGCCTGAGGGCTTTTGATTTTTTTTTTTAATCTTACCAAGAGTAGGTGGTCCCCAGGTCGATTCCAACCACAGTCCCTACACTCTCCCTCTTGTCGTCGTCATCGGCAATTACTGTGCCGGCCACCAGCATTACTACCCACATCAACTTCATCTTTGCTTGATTGAACTCTGATTTACAGAAGAAATCTGGGGGAAATAAAAAAAACAGTGTTAACAAACGTGTCTTGTCTTGTCATGACATGTGCTTGCTGTCTACAAAGTTCAGGTCGCTAACTTAACAGCTAATGGTAGGGTTAGATAGATAGTGTCATACACTATACATTTATATACCTATGATAGATGGGAAATGTAACCTTTACTTAGAAATACCCTAAAATGTCAAATATAAGCGTTGAAAGACTATGGGTAATGTGGGTGGAGCCCGATTGCCTCTTCCGAGTGCTAACACCACTGTCTCCTTTTCTTTTTTTTTTCGCCGGTAGCTAGCTACGTTAGCGTGCCTAGCAGACATGCCAGGAAAAAATGCTTTGCCATAAGCTCTTAAAAACGCGTTTTAATGCATGGTATACCACAAATCAGTGTCTTCTCTTCATAATTAAAAGACCAATGTAAACTTAACATCGTCAAATTTGGCAGGTTTATCGTAATGAAACTCATAAAATGAAGACCAACGCTGTGTCACAAAATATTACATCGTCTCACATTCATATTCACAACAATGCGTATACATACCTTGATTGCAGTTTTGTCAATGAATTAACGGCCTTGGCGTTGCCTCAACTGGTTCCAGCCTATTATAGCGGTGTATCTCTCAGTTTCGGTGTATTCTGTATTCCTGCCTCTGTGTAATGATGTTGAATGAACCGTGCTCTCTTCATATATAAGCAGTCACTTCTTTCCCGTCGTGGAGGCACGCCATTGGCTGAGCAGCTGTTCGTTGGAACGTGCTGATTGGTTTCCACCGGCACGCTGTCGGCCGCTGATTTGCACACATCGGGTCGAGGACACGTCACGGCTTTTGCCCACCGTGCGGATGCCGATTGGCTGTCTGTCAAGCGTATTCATGAACACAGTTGGAGCAATGACACGCCACTCTAAAGATTGAGGAAGGGTGCATTTTCACATTTTGTACATTTGAAGTTACTCCTGTTTTTTTTAAGAATAATGGGCCCACATTAATTGGACTGACGTTCATTCTCATGTTGCTGTTTTTTCAAGGAGTGCAACTGCGTTCATGTAGACTACATGATGTAGTGTTGGTATCATTGGTAGTTGTGATGACACAATCATGAGTAAGAAATTTGCAAACACTGTGTTATATGCATGTAAATAGCCTAAGAGCAAAGGGTGTTACATCAGATGAACTGGATTGTCAGGACATTTCATCAGATAATGTACACACAAATGATGGCTTAACACATCCACCTTTAAATTAAACCTGCCTAATTTGACTATCTAGTTTTAACTTGTGTGTTTTATTGATCACAAATTGATCACAGATATGTTATTGCCTAATACAACGTAGGTTAAGCAGGTTACAATACATATCAAACAAAACCACATACACTGGATTATCTTAAACAATCTTCTATATCAAAAGTCTAAATAGGTCAGGGTTAAGTAACTGGTTGCCATGGCCACACTTCAGTGTTTATGAACACTTTTTAAAATCTGTATGTATGCTAGCTTTAGTATATAGGATATTAAAGAAAGTACTGTAACTACACAATCACATGTATTTGTCATTGTAATATTTACCTGTTCTGTATTTTCAACAAACACCCAGCCCTCTTTTGTTGTAGCCTATAGTTGCAGGCCGTGTCATGCTTAGGCCTACTTGGTATGTCAGGCTAAGTGATAATTACCAAAAAACTCTATCACTGTGCTGAGTTTTATTCAGTTCAGTTTCCAAAGCAAATCATCTTGTTTGAATATTTCTGAATTAAGTATTGTAGGCCTACATGCATCAGGAAAATTACATAAGTAGCCATTCATAAAAGAAAAATCCATGGAACAGATCATTTTTCTTGGTTTGAGAGATTTTTCTAACAGGGTAACATCAACAACATTATTATTATTAGGAACTGCAGAATCAAGGGAAAAAATATAATTTTGACCCTCAGATGTCTCTTGCTTTCTGCTGACTTACAGTATGTCTCCAAGTTCCATTTAGGCAAGTTAAGGTCTCCTTTTAAAGTCCCTCCATGGTTGGAGTGTTGAGGTCAGAAGTAAGGAAACATTGTCAATGATATGTCCTTTGTTTTATTTGTCGTTGACAGTATCAGACATCTTATATTCAAGATTCAAATATTTAGAGACTTTGTTGTCATTTGCACAATAGCTACAGCTTAGTTGTTCATATAGGTTCCAGGCTCCTTCCACAGTGCAACATATAATACACAAGAAACAAGAAACTAAAACAGCTCAATAAAATGGTACAAGTGACACAATGGTGGAATAAAGAATAGGTATGGACATGTAAAATAGTACTGGATAAGCCAGAATGTAAAATTAAATACTGGACAATGGCATAGTACTCCTCTTTTAATGATATATAAATAATATGTAAACTGTAAGTGTACTGATTTTGACTTTAAACTTTAAAGAGTTGCACATTTCTGAACAATTTTACCTTTTTTTAAGACTAGCTCAACATTTTAAACTCTGAGATACATGTCATATTAAAACATTTTTGAGAATTGTTCAAACTTAGTTTGTTGTATGTCAATACTATGAACACACCAAGTGTATACGTGTTCCTGCTTATTTATTTATACATTTCTGATGTATTTGCTTTAAACAAATGAAGGAATAGGCACTTTACTGAGCTTAGGGAATGTAATAGTTCTCACCTTTCATATATTAAGGACATATCAACAACATTAATTATATAGGCATGTGCATATTTATAATAAAAAATGTTATCAAACACAAATTAGGTTGGTTTTGATTCTTCCCCCCATGCATGTCCCTCCCAGGGCTGCATGAAGGAGATTTGTTTTACCCAGCCTGCGACCCCTACCGGCAGCTGGCAGTTACACCAACAGACAGCAAACTGGTGACGTGGTTCGGTCCGTTGACCAGAGCAGCAGCAGTAGCAGTATGGCCGACCAGAGCAGGCAAATAAAACTCGCTGCAGCTAAGAAAAAGGTAGAGTATTTTATTACTGATCCGGCTTTACAACATGGGAAGTGCTGGTCCTGTTTCTCATCTGCGGGTTTGGTTGCCGGTGTTTTCTTTCGTGTTGTTATTAATTTCTACAAGGAGAAGGGGTGTTGTCATTACACGTCGCCCGACCTCTGCGCTGATGCTTGTACCGCCTGCCTTGCTCTTCTCGAGGCTTCAATGCGCTGGAGAGACCGGTGCTTCTTAGGGGCCTGTATTGATAGCATTAACTTTCCCAGATTATGAAGACTATTTTTAGTTATTTGAGGCGTTTATGGCGTCTAATGCTGTTTAGTTAGTAAGTGATTGACTTCACTTGCTCTCTTCGCCCAATGGTTTAATGTGTATTTTAATGTGTCTTTTAGCTTTGGTTATGTGGTTATTAGCAAACCTTAACGTGCTAGCTAACTAAGGCACTTAACCGTTAGCAAGCAGGCCAACTAATGAATAGTTGGCTATGTGTGAGTGTAGATAAATGCTACACTGCAGCTGGGTAGCTTTGTGTGTTGTCTGCAGGATGTTTACATTATTTAAAGGAATGCTCAACAGACAGCGATTTTAAAACAAACGCTAAGCTATCACTGTAGCAGAGTTAGCATGATAGAATGACGGGGAGTGTTTTGACAGCTGACACCCCTCTTCCCTGTCCCGCTGTGTGCTTTAGCTGCTAAGTGTGTTAGCATAGTCTGTATGTGAGGCTGGTCCGAAAGATGGCCTCGTCAGCTGTGAAATGTTAGCTTCAGGAAATGACTCGTCAGCATTCCTGCTGTCCCACTCTCTTTGAGGAGGAATTGTCGTGTTGATAACACTTTAGATGCGATGCTGATCGGATTCAACCCAATTACTTTAGAAATGGCAGCTCCAATAGTTCCCATATGATCCATAATATGGTCCCCTCCAACAGCTGTCCCCAACAGAGTGTTGTATTGATCTTTGTTATCAACTCCATCCTATTTGGGTAAGAACAGCACGCTGATAAGCGAGCAAGTCCAAATTACATACCTGCTTCATCTCAGATGGTTGAAAGTTGCAGGATTTTTAATAAGTAACACAATTAAGTCTAATGTTGTTAGAGAGTCAGCAGTATAGTTTTCTGTCAGTTAGTATTGATTGCTGCACTTCATACACCTATTTTTTCATTTCTTATGTGCTGATCAGCTGAAGGAGTTTCAGCAGAAGGGCTCTCCTAGTGTGGGAGTGGAAAAGGGTGGAGGAGGAGGAGGAGGTGGTGGTGGAGCAGGGGCCAAAAAGAAGAGGAAGGTGAAGGGACTGAACCAACATGATGCATCTTCAACAGGCAGAAACTCTCCAGACAATGTAAGTCAGTCCTGGACGGTCTTTCTATTTATTTTCCTGCTTGACATTTCGCCTTTGTAGGTCAGTCTTCTGTGTCATTCTTATGTCTGATGATTGATCAAATCTTGTGGAATCCTGTGAAATAGACATCATCTCTTTTTCCTTTTTTTAAACGCTGTATTATCATTAGAAAGCATTCAAACTCTATGTGAGCTGGGCAGACAACATTCATTGTTGTGTGAATGTATATATCAAATTTAGAACTTTTCCATATGGACAGTACCAGTGCCAGGCAAAGCAATAAACACAATAAGAAAGATCCTCATGCTGCCATTTATCACAAAATAATGTTGCCGCTTGTAAAATGATATGGCTGAATTACTATAAAGTTGGCAAATATTTTCCTTCTTGCTATCAGTCACACACAGTACTGACATGTATCTGCTGACCAGGTGACAGGATAAAAAATAATGTTTGTCTAAGAAAGAAGACACTGGAATAGAGTCAAAATATCTGACCCTGCATCGTAACCCCACAATGAAGTGGACAGTGTTATGATGCAGCTAAGGATCAGGTATATTGAACATTTTTGTCTTAACTTTAGATTATGCTGCTCGATTATGGCAAAAATCATAATCTCGATTATTTGGGTCAATAATTGTAATTGCGATTATTAAATGCGATTATTCATTAACTTTGAAAACATCCATTTATTGTACTTTAAAAATGATGAACAGTATGTTTTTAACAGTGGATTACCGCTGAACTTTAAGTAATTTCAACTGAAAAAACCAAAAAAAAAAAAAAAGTAATAATAAAAAAAAAATCGTTTTATTTCGATTACTTTGTTTTCGTAATCGTTGCAAGCTATAATCGTAATCGCGATTTAAAATACGATTAATTGAGCAGCCCTAACTTTAGAGAAAGTATTATCTTTGAAAACTGGCCATAATTTTTCTATTTTGGTATTAGACATATCAAGCTTTTTTTATTGGGCATTTTTAAAATCATTAATTTAGTTGCAACCAGAGTCACATGCCTATCTTTTAGTGCTAATTACAATGTCAGTTTGCCTAATTTCTACCTCTGACATCTATAACATTTTAATATCAAGCACAGTCTACAGCTGTGTGTTCTGCTCTAAAGCTCATAACCAAATTGAGAGTGCGATTGAGGACACACAGTTAGCCATGTGACTCCAGCACACAGCTTTGAGACACAGGTCGGTTGTCACAGGTCTTTAAAGCCTTACTGGAATCTGGGCAAGTGACAACTCTGCTGCTGAGTTACAATATTTCCCCCAAGCATGTTTGCTTTTGTTGTTTAGTTTTTTCTGAATAGCCTTATAGTCTGAATTAGACGTAAAACAGTATGATGTTCCGAGTAACCAACAAGTTTCGTTTATGGAATCATAGCAGAGGAAACATTTTACAATAATTGCCATACATTAAGATAATGCATTTTGTATAAATGTCTTACCCAAACTGTTATTTAGCTTAACACATTTAATGAAGGCTTTTTAAAATCTATTTTATTTGTACAGGTAAGTCACTAGGACAATAATGATTGACTTGGCAGATCAGGCGACAAGGGGAAATGTAAAAAGGTTAGTGTGTTTAGTTTATAGATGTAATTGCAGAGGAAAATGAAGCATCATAGGAAATGTAGTTAGAGATTATTCTAATCCACAAACACAACATTTCGAACAAATGCAGCGCTGCCCCTCGGTGATTTTGATGACAGTCAAGGGTAATTCTGATTATTATTTGTAATTGGTTTAAAAGAAGCAGGAAATCTTTCTGACCTCTTGGACCAGTTTCTCCTTATTACCCATCCGTATTACTTCTAGACCTCCTCCTAGGGTTTATTGTAGCAGGTTATACTGTTCTCTTCACCCTTTTGCATCTCTTTCATCTCCCTCCCTTCTTCTTCCTGTAGTTTGACAATATTCTGAAAGCACTTAGTCAAAGCAATGGAGTAGTTCTACCTCCTAATGGCAACAGTCAGGTGAGCGTATGTCTCTCTTTCCTCTCTTTCTTCCTCTCTTTCTTCCTGCCATGACTGTGTTTTCTGTCTCTGCATGACATTGCTGTAAATAGCCACTCCTGTGTGGTATCTAATATCTCATCTCGCTTCCCCATTCTAACCTCCTTCTTGCATCAGATGCACATATGTTTTCTTTTTCACACAGTCCAGAAAGCATGGGGCACATTTTAAGTGCAAATTCTTGTATTGTTGCTTGGCTTTTAAATCCATGTCAAGAGAGTGCACCGTTTTTTTTTTTCACCATCTCTATACAGCTGATTGTATGAGTATCATCTCTGTCTGGGTGCATCATGCAGGCATGCTTTTTAGAAAACAAAGTGTTTGTTTGTCTCACTTGTTAAAACGTTTTTCATTGCTACCCTTGTGTTTGTTTGTTTTGGCTTTTTAACTGCCTGATTTAAATGCACTCTTAAGAGGGTTATTTTGTTGTTACAGATTATTATAAAAATATTGCTTATAATAGCTTCAGAGTAAGAGAAACCGAGAGGGATTCTTTGTCCGTCATTCAATTCCACGTTGGCATTTAAACAGCATAGTTCGTTTTTTCAGTGCTTTTATTCTACTAACGTTTCAAAGACTGCCATGAGCAGAAGTGTTTTGAAAAAGTATTGGCAGCAGCGTAACAGCTTTATATCTTTCACCCTCTCTAAAAGAGCCTGCATTATTTGCTCCGTTAGCAATTTACCAAACAATTGATAAAAATAGACAAAATCCCTGCATTTTCGTATTACATTCTAATATCATCCTAGGCTGTGGACTATCATATCTGTACGTTTCACAGAAGATTGAGTCTGAACCTTTATATATACAGTCTATGGTCTGAACGTATCTATTCCAAAATAATAAATATAAAAGCTTATAAAGTTGCATCATTTTGGCCTCCATGTTTCTGTTGCATCATAACTGCTTGTTTTCTTGGCATTAAACCAGTGTGTGCATTTGTTGTGTGTGTGTCACATCAGACCTTTGCTGACGTGGAGTCCGTCGGGTCACCAGTCCCCCAGCTGCTGGAGGACCCGAAGGCAGAGCCTGACCGCGGCTCGCCTGTGCCTAACCCCGCTAGCGCTAACACTCCTACTAATCCCGAATCTGTCGGTCACAACACTGACCTGCAGGTGTGTGTCTTTCTCTCCGTCACTATCTCTTTGTCTCTGTTTCTCAAGTCATATGTTGTATTGTCACCTTTAAACCTCCGTATCTCTCACTTCGGAGCATAATTACAGTTGCTGCATTTTTACTGATATATGTGAGTGTTGTAAAAACAGAATTACTGTTTCTGTTAGGTTATACAATGTGAATTTCTCACCACACAAGTTATACATGTTCTGTGTTCCTCCTTCCTGTTTGTCTGTCTACTGCTCTCACCCTCTATTCCTCTTCCAATCTTTCTGTAGGACTATACCGACACCAATGGCAATGGGAGTTTAACTGAAGAAAAAAGGTGGGTTACCTGATTTATCACTGTCCATGACACCCTTGTATCTTTAAACGCTGCAGTTTAAAACCCTGTGTTTATCATTTGGAAATATATATTTATATCAAGGGCAGAAAACGCCCTCTTGAAACAGCTCGTTCCATTACTCTATCATCAGCACATTTTATATTAATGCTGCACTTTAACCAGAGACTACTTTAACATAATATTTGTCATTAATTAGGTATACAACTTAGTGAATGACTTGGATAATGTATGTGATTGATTATTTCTGTATTTTGCCTTGCAGACCACTGTCTTCCACAGAGAGCCTGCGACAGCTCTCCCAGCAGCTGAACGGCCTGGTCTCTGGGGTAAGATTTCAGCAGCGCCAATGTCTTCCTGTCTCCCTAACACACTCACACACACACATATCTTTCTCATACATATAGTAAAACTGAACAATTAAACACCAACACTGATGAGCACTTTCATCCATGGTGTGATGCATCTATTCTTGGCAGGAATGCTCTGGAAGAATTTAAAACTGTGCCAGTTGTTCCCAAAGGCCTCACGCACACTAACAGCGTCAACCGGTGCAGCTGCTTCGTGTGTTTCTATTTTTTTAGTGCTACACATTATACAGTTAGCTTGTTGTCTGTTTCTGAGACACAGTTAACAGTTTACTGCTTACTAACAGAAGTAATCAGACATCCATACAATCTGTTTTTCACCTTGAAATATATATATCATTTCCCGTGTTGCATTGATGTGCTTGTCTTTGTCTTTTCAGTCATCTGCTGCATATGTGAATGGAGACAGTCCCCCTGCCATGGGTGAGAGAGAGCTGGAGGTAAGATGGAAATCTAATATATTCTAAAACTATTAGTTAAAAGTAATTGAGGTCATGATCAAGGCCATGTGATTCACAGTAAAGTGGCTGCCCTGTACCATGAGTACACCTAGGACTTCTCCATATTGCTGAAAGGGTTTGTTTAGGTAAAACTAAATAAAAAACATTAAGGTACAGTTTGGGGACAGGTAATATCTATGTTAAACAATACAGAGCTAGTCTATTGTCAAGCACAAACAGTCCATTGAATGGATTTTAGCAACCTTATTGACATGAAGTGTGCACAAGGAATATGGTATGGGATTGTGACTTGATACAGCAGGTACTAATTTTAAAAATGGTAAATAACCATTGACATGTTAATGTAGCGCAGATTAGATTGCTAAAACTCTGTTGAGGGCTTAACATAAAGACCAAAAACACATTGTTACATCAATATACTCCATTAATCAGATTAACAACCATCATGTATTTTATGATATATTTCAATTATTTTATTCATGTTTCACACCTCTCATAAAGTTGCTATTGTTTGCTTCCATGTTAATAAGTCACAGATCGTCTCCTTGTTTGACTTTTGTCACAGCACAATATCCCTCTCTCCTTTTTTTGTTCTCCTCCCGGACGCATGTGTGCACGTGATAGGGTCGGAACCAGGAGCTGTCAGCCGCCCTGGAGTCCAGCAACCTAACAAACTCTCAGCTAAATACCAAGTTAGACCAGCTGGTAAGAGGCTGTGTGTGTGTCTGTGTCCGCACATTTGTGTGTCTGTAGTACCCCCCCCCCCTTCAACAGTCCCACATATATCACAGAAAAGCATGCCCTGTACCCTGTCATCTTTATAACCACACTGGAATAAGTCATGCATGGTTTTCATGGTTTTTATTTATCCTTCACGATGGTTCAATAGAATGCCTCTCTTTATTTGCACACTCTAGTCAGAGTCCATGGTAGACGCTTAATTGTAGCACACTAACTTAAAGCTTCATATAAACCTAAAAGGTAAACATAACAGGTTTATTATTTAAATCCTTACGACTATCCCTGTCCTGTTAGGCATGCAGTTGAGGGATTTTGTGTCAGAATTTCTGCTGGTGTGATGAAATAAATGTTGATCTTTGCTGAAGTTAAACTTATATCCTGTTGGTCTGGCAGGCACAGCAATCTCAGGTGCTCTCTGAACAGCTGCAAAAGGTAAACAGATTTTTTTTTTTACCTTGTCTGTTAATTCCCTGTGTCTATTTTTCCAGTTTCCTGAACTTTGACCTATTTCCCGGGTGATTAATTTATATCATTTTTTATGTTCTCCAGGAGCGGAAAGAATTTGATCAGAAATCTTCGAAAGAGCAGGGAGCCATGCGGGAGCAATTACAGGTAACTTCTTCCGCCCAACACACACATTCAATTTGTAGGACGGTGTATTTTAAGAAGGAAGGAGCATTTAATGCATCCATGTAATGTATCAGTGTAAAATGTCAGAGTCCATGGTACCACCCTGATATATAATTGATGTTATCCGTGAACACAGCTTCCCCCCGTTTGCTCACTCTGACAGGAGTTAATTATGTTCTCTGCATGCTAAGTTGTGTATTTAGTTTCTATCGTGATTTAATAAAGGAGTTTCTGTCTTGAAACACCTTCCCTCTGTCGTCCATAGGTTCACATCCAGACTATTGGAATACTGGTATCTGAGAAATCAGAGCTCCAAACAGCACTACAATACACACAACATGCTGCGCGGCAGAAAGCAGGTGTGTCTTTTTTAATGATCAGCCGTATATAAACCTGAATCAAAACTTCTAATCTTTGCAAGACTTGAGTTTACAATTTGTTTGTGTCTCTGTGTGTGCAGCTGAGGCAGAGGACTTGAATAACCGTCTGCAGGGAACAAAGCAGAGAGTATCCGAGCTGGAGAGAACTCTCTCTTCTGTCTCAACACAGCAAAAACAGTTTGAAAAGGTAACCAACATCGCAGTGTTCACATCTAAACTGAAATCATTTAAAAGTGGTATCATTAATAAATGTTTTCCTTTTTGTCTCCAGCAAAACAAAGAGTTTGAAAAGGCGAGAGACAGCCTGAGACTAGAGGTGTTTAGACTAAAGTAAGTCACTTAACATTCACAAGGTGAAGGTTTTCATAACAATGTCATCAAAGAAAAATTACCGGTAGTTAATCAACCCGACAGACGGCGTGAGCAAATCTCCCAAGTCCTGATAAGAATCTGTAGTTTAGATGAACAACCTCTGCATGTGTCTGTGTTTGCAGCAATTTGAGTGAGGAGTCGAAGCAGCAGGGCTCAGAGCTGTCAGAGCAGATAAAGCTGAGAACACAGGAGAATGGAGCAATGAGGATGGAGTTGGAAGATCTTCGCAAGAGACTCGAGATAGCTGACCTCATGTTGCAACAGGTGCATTAAAACACAGACACACATATATACTGATCTTCGTCTTAACAAGCTTTGGACTTTATAGCCAATCTACAACAAAAAGCCATTGTTTGGGATTTGTATCAATAAAGATCCCTAAATGTTTCTTTGCAGCCCGATTAGATTTTTTCTTATCATCTATTCTGCATTTCATATCAGTATTTGTCCTTTTTTCCCCCTCCAGTGCTCCAGCCAGTCAGATCCCTCTAATGCCACCCAGCAGGTCCAGTTACTGCTGGGAGAGAAGCAGCAGCTGGAGGCACACAATCACCAGGTATGTGAACACGGAGGGTCTTTCTCCTACAGTTATCTGCATATGTGTTATGCTAGTGGCTAAACTTATATTTTATTCTTTCATTATCATTAAAACAACTCAACATAATGTAATGCCCCACTAGTTTCCCTTCCTTTCATAGAAACATTCCTCAGCCAACCTCCTGTTCTCATCAGCCTCTTTCCTTGCATTTCACATTCCTTGCATCAAATGACCCATGAGATATCCCTTTGCCTTTCCTACTTCTCCTTTTCCTTTCCATATGTGATACATAAAAGCAGCATATTAATACTTTTAAAAAACATATATTTTAAATAAACAAAGCAGCCTGTTGTCCCTCTTATGAAAATGAAGTCTTGCCATGTTGACCGTGCTTATCCCTTAATGTTTTTGATGCTGTAGCTGATGGAGTCGATATCCCAGCTGCAGACGGAGAGAGACTGCTATGCAGAGCAGATCCAGGAGGAGGGCCGTGTATGGAAGGACAAAACAGAACAGCTGCTAACACAGGTGAACTACACAGCAACATTAGCTTAGACATATGGTTCAATATATTTGAAAAACATTAGACCTACCTATTGATTTAAATGTTAATTCCTGTGTCTGTGCAGGTTTCTTTGGTTGCAGAGGAAAGGGACAGAAACATCAACCGAGTCCAAGACCTGGAAGCCAGCATCACAGAGCTGCAACATGTAGCAGGTGAGAGGCCCACACTGCCCTTGTTTAATGCTTCAACCTGATCCTGACTTTGACCCTCCTTAAGCTGCCTGTTTACCCGTGGCAAATAAAATGTCCGACTGCCTGACCGTAGTTGGATTTACAGAATGGCTCCCCTTATCTTGCAGCACTGTACACTTGATAAGGTGCGTCAAGGGGAGAGCAAAGAGACGATGTTCGACACTATTGTAAGCTGGTGTCGAAATGTTAATTATCGGCCAAACATTTTTCTTTTTAAAGCCTTTAACGCCGTGCTTCACTCTTTTTTCCCTCCATTGCAGGAATAACATTGGTGAGGTTTCAAATAGTTTGAAAACTTTATTTTAGCATAATCTTAAAAACTTAAATATACTGTATATGATACTACTTGGGAACGTTTCTGGACACACATAAAGGCCGTCAGAGACTTTATCTAATTAAATATAGCACTTTTCCATTGCTGATATACCTTATATCCTATTTTGTTAATATTATATAACTTTTTCCATGCCATGTCTTTTCATGTCAATGCCATGACCATGGAGGAGAGGGATTTGTTTATGCAGTGTACTGCCAATGTTTCTTTTTTCTGAATAGAACATTCAATACAAATTAGAATTACAAAAAAAAAAGATGTACTGTATCTGAGCTGTAGCATGCTTAATACCGGGCATACAAGGTATTTGTTATTGCAAAAATGATTATATCTAATACCTGTCATTCTTCTTCTCCTCCTCCTCCAGCGTTGCTGTCCCAGGAGAGAGAGGCTCAGGATAATGCGGAGCCTCAGTCCTCGGGGCCCTCAGAGAGCGAGGTGGCTCTGCAGGAGGCCCTCAACGCTCTGCATCAGGAGAAAGATGCTCTCACTGCACAGTACCAGGCACAGGTATGCCTTACACACACACTTAGAGCATTCCTTTTCTGCTAATGATTACTTTATTTCTTGGATAATATTGGAATATTGTGTTCGGCAGTGTATTATGGTTCTGTGTCCCTAACAGCTATACCCATTGATTTGTTCTGTTTAATATTTCAACGATGGTTTGAAGTTGCTTACATTCCCCTCTGTTAAATTTCCCCCAGCTGCGAGATAACGAGCAGCTGAGCCGCATGTGTACAGAGCAGGAGACACGTCTGGGAGAGCTGGAGCGGCAGTTAGAGAGCCAGGTCCAGGAGGACGGGGACCGCCGACGCATGTTAGAGGATGTTCAGTCAGATAAGGCCACCATTAGCCGAGCTCTCACTCAGAACCGAACGCTGAAGGACCAGCTGGCTGAGCTACAGAACGGATTTGTCAAACTGGTGAGGCTGTAAATCATTTCTCTGTAACAATAATCTGAAAGGTTTTTCACACATTTGGAGAGTATATTCATTTCTAAGTGTTAGCTCGGAGAGTGGGAGACTTTAATCCAAATTCATTTGTGCAGACCAATGAGAACATGGAGCTGACCGATGCCATCCAGACAGAGCAACATGTGAAAAAGGAGCTGGCTCGCAGAATGGGTGAACTGCAAGAGGAAATGCACAACTTCAAGGAGCAGGTACACAAAACACGGCTGGGGTTGTGGCATTTGTCACTTTTAGTACCTTATCTGTCTTTACTATGATTACACTATATCCTTTGTAAACTTTATGTTTTAATAATAATGTATTAATGGCCATCCACGCTGTGGAGTTAACACAACAGAGACATATGTGATTATGGCATCCTGAAAAGTTGTTTTCTGCTTTCTTTGGCATTTATTTCCTCTTTGTTCCCTCTTCTTCAGCTGGAACTGAAGAGTCAGGACACTCAGGGTCTGATGGAGCAGAGGGACCAGGTGGCCGCCCAGCTGCAGCAGTACTGTGCCGGCTACCAGACCCTGGTCTCAGAGAGGGAACAGATCCACCACCAGTACCTGAAGCAGATCCAGCTCATGGACCGGCTGCAGCACGATGAGAGCCAGGGCCGCATGCACTTGGAGATCAGTCAGAATCAGCTCAAGCAAGCGCAGGTGTGCATTTCAGAAATAAGGCATATTAAATACTTTAGTAAAAATCCTGCCCTAAAGCTCTTTATCAACTATTATAATATGAGACTGATTCGAAAGGGTCTGGAGTCAGTGTATTACAGTATGTTGATACTATGTTGTGTAACCTCACATTCTTTCAATATGCCTTACTTATCTCTGTGACCACAAGCATACATCAATTCATTTGAATGACTCTCTGTCTCCCCCTACAGGATTATTTGGATCTTTTGGTCAAAGACAACGATCAGCTGAAGGCGGAGGTGAAGGATCTGCTGAACAGTTCAGCGCTTGGCTCGGCCAGAGACCAAGGTAAGATTAGTCTTTTACTGGTATGTTACTGGTACTTTTTTAAACCCTTTTTTTTTACTATGCTTATCCAAGCTTCTTCAGATTGCATATTTTGTATAACCTTTTGAAATGTAGTACCAAAAAAGTGGTTGTACACTACATGAATGATGAGGGGTACAATGTTGAAAAGGAGCTGAATCCCTCTTATAGTAGATCTTCATGACCTGCAGTTCCTGTCTTAATTTGAATGTGTCACTCGTTCACGTAGGAGATGGAGTGGAGAGCCAGTCCATGCAAGAGAGCTCAGAGCGGTCCACCTCCATAGTCATCCCAGAAGACTTTGAGAGCAAGAAAGACATGGTGAGGAGGGTGATGATTGTTCTTCACAAAAAAAGATTCAATATTCAAGAAGATTCAAATATGCTTAAATTATTTGTCGAACTTCCATTGCTTTGCCTTTTATGACACATTATGGGCGCTCACATGATACATACAGGGCTATACCAGTTTAAATGATACATTGTTTGTAATGTAGGAGGAGTTTATCCGTGGAGCTTTGACTCGGGTTGAGGCGGAGAGGGACGAGGCCAGAAGGCAACTGGAGGAGGAGCACAGGCACCACATGGCGGCCAGGCACCAGGCCTCTATGGCCCTCAGCCTGGAGCAGCAGCACCACAGCCACTCAGATGTTCACGACCATGACCATCACCATGATCATGAGCATGACCACGAGCATCACCATGATCATGACCACGACCATGATCACCACCAGGACCATGATCATGACCATCCCCATGATCATGACCACGACCATCACCATGACCATCACCATGAGCACGATCCCTCTCAGGACCCGCACAGTCACTGTGAACACGGCCATGAGCATTCAGGTGAGGAAGATAGGGTCTGTGAAAGCATGCATATGTTTATTTTATTATGTATAGACCTAGATCATAGTACCAGGAGACATCGTTTGGTAGTCACCCCACACGAAGCGTGGTCCTCCTCAGTGTCTCCTTCACTGTCCTCTATTTACACTTCTTGCATGCTAGATGATGAAGATGCACCTCCCTGTCTCTTTTTAAGCCTCCGTTTTGCTTTCTCCAAACTTGTTGCCAAAACTGTGAAGTCCTTGCATTTCCTGAGGCCAAGTTGAAGGATCAAATATTAAGAAATGATCACATGACTTGAAGTTATATCTGATTTCAGATGTGGGAAGTTACTAAGTACACTTCTTCAAGTACTCTACTTAAGTACAATTTTGAGATATTTGTACTTTACATGACTTTGATGCTACTTTGTTCTTCTACTCCACTACAGTTCAGAGGTAAATGGTTTACTTTTAGTCCATTACATGTATTTAATACCTTTAGTTACTTTACCGATGTGGATGAATGATGTGAAATATAATCAAGTGTTAAATCAGACTTTAGTTCCACCTGGAGTAAATCCACAAGCTACCCTGCAGTAGCCTATACAAAGTCATTCAAACTAGCTGCACCTCTACCAGCTTTGATAACACTTTAATGATCAATCATTATAAAACATAATATATATTATTCTGAAATGGACCAATGTACTTTTACTTTTGGTACTTTAACTATATTTTGATACTACTTTTCTAATTTTACTAACGTAACTGAATGCAGGACTTTTACTGTAACAGAGTATTCCTACACAAGATCTGATTTCAAAGTCTTCCATTAACACCCTGAGTAAGTTTGCAGCTGTGTGTTTTACTCCACTTTTTTGTAAATAAAACTGCAGCAGCTTGACCACAGAGCGTGAACGTTGTGATTAGCTGATTTTGCGCAGTTCTCCAGTGTGTGCGTGGGGCACAGAGTGTGCACAGGGGAGTCTCCCACTGCAGCCAGTTGGCGGAGTTTTGGCACAATTCTGTTGTTCATACCGACGTTAACCCTGTCTGTGCACACGGTGAACAACTCTGTCGTCCGGTGATATAAGCCTCTGCCTCCTGTAAAGCTTCACAGGTCCGTCGGTTATGTCCTGCGCGGCTCGGCCAGCACCCAGTTCAGTGAGTCACAGAAAGTCCGAAGATTTCTTGCAGGGAGCGAAACGGCAACGTAGCTGCTTAATGGCTTTGTTTTTTTTGACATGTCTCGTAGTTTACTCGATTGAGTCTTGACAAGAAACACGTGTAGACGAAATATGTGTTTTTGTTTTTGATGTTTTGAGGTACGCAAAGGCGCGTAGTGACAAAAGTGACGTTACACAATACAGATTTGTGCCGCGCATGCGTACCTGCGTACCAGTTATGTGCACCCCTGGTTCCCTATTATACTCTTTTTCATCAATATATTATAGGTCTCAGATATATACAAACATGTCTCTGAAGCGTTTGGCTCGAAACACCAAACAGATCATTGCAGCATTACCCATAATCCCCTCTGTTTCAGCCCTGTTTCCAAAGTGCTGTTTCT